GTTCCCTATCCACCCCACCCCCCAGCACGCCACATCCCCACTACTCCGCCTACCTCCCAGCGCTTTCCCGCCACCAAACAGCTGTTTGGCGGTGCTTAGGACTTTCGAGGAGGGAGGAGCTGGGACGCGGCATGCTCAGGGGAGGAGGCGGAGAAGAGGTGGGGCCGGGGCGGGGAATGGGTTGGAATAGGGGCAGGGAGGGGCGGGGTTCGGGCGGGGACTTTGGGGAAGGGATTGGAATGGGGACAGGGAAGGCGTGGGAAGAGAGTGGGCAGAGGTGGGGCCTCATGGAAGGTTTCAGTGATGCGGCCCTCGGACCAATGTACTAGTCCTCATGTGGCCCTTGTCATGATTTGAGTTTGAGATCCCTGTTTTAAAGCAAGGGTGGGAGAAAAGACCCTTGCTTGAAAGTCCCCTGCCACCAGCCACTTCCCATTTAACGGGAGTGGAGGTATGTGAACTCAAGAGCCTTAACTGATTGCAGCTGCCACACTCTTGCTCAGGGAGGAGAGGCTCTCACTAAGGCAATGTGGACCCAAACTGCTAAGAACGGTCTTAAGTGGAATATTGAATTAATCTTCCAAACTAACTTTCCCTTTTTGAGTTAAATTTGCCAGGGCACCGTCTGGCAATGTCCTTGCTTTGCAAAGCAAATTGTTTCTTTTCAAACTAATAAAGCCCAAAATATTACTCTGTACGTAACAAGCCCAAATTAGAGAAATTGGCTAGCAAGAAAAAGAAATATACTATTTTGTATTTGAAATGCAATTAGAAATACACATAACTTCCACTGAGGGTAATTAAAAGAAGAAAAATAAATACAGAGGGTGGGCACCATGCCCAGTATTCCAGCCAAGAAACTTCCTCTTCTGGCTTATTAGTCATCCCTTTTGAACTCATCTGTTTTGCCGTCCACATGCATGGGATGGAATAGTGGTATAGTCACGTTCTCAACCACTTCTATGCTTTCAGTTGTACAAATGTAAGCTTCAGTTGTCATTGACATAACCGGTTATTCTGTACTTTCTTCCCCAGGATTTTAGAACTTCAGCAAAATGGAGACATGGATATACTGAAGCATAAGTGGTGGCCAAAGAATGGTCAGTGTGACCTATACTCATCAGTGGATACCAAACAGAAAGGAGGTGCCCTGGACATAAAGAGCTTTGCAGGGGTGTTTTGTATCCTGGCTGCGTGGGATTGTCCTCTCCTGTTTCATTGCAATGCTGGAAACATGGTGGAATAAAAGGAAAGGCTCCCGGGTTCCATCAAAAGAGGTATAGAACCCTTTAATTTATTGTGGAATATCTTCATGCTATCTGCATACTGTTGTCTTGAATTTATAGCACTAAAGGGGGAAGGAAAACATACGTTCTGAAATAATTCCATAGTTTTCTGATTTGTAAGATGAGCAAGGTCACTGAAAACCTGTATCGTGAAATCTGACTCTCCTTTTTAGAAGAGCCAAAAAGAAATGAAAAAAGAAAATAAATACTATATATTGGTGCTGTGTGACAGGGAACTGGTCTCACTGGAACACAACAATTAGTAGTAGAATACTATGTTAGTAATACATCAGTAATTAGTACATTATGCCTTCTATTGTGGATCAGCTCCAGGTTTTGCCAATGAGTTTGAAAGGTCTCTTTCACTCCGGCATTCAAAACATGCCCCCCAAATGCAATAGCTCAGACTTCCAAAAACAGGTTACCAAAGCTAAACTCCTAAATCCATATTTAGGCTCCTAAATGAACTTGGTATGATTTTTGGAGGTGCAGAGGACCTGCATTCCTATTTGCTTCTGTTCTCAATATCTACCTGAAGTCAATGGCAGCTGAGGGTGCTCAGCCCTTTGGAAAACCAGGCCAGATTTTTTAGAAACCTGAAAATGGACACCCATTTTTTAACATCTTGGTCAGGGAATTCTAAAATGCCGAGAACTATAGACAACTGATTTTAGTGGGAGATGTGCCATTTTATAGCAGTCCAGGATGCTTGACAAGTTACAGTGCATCACCACCAATTACACTTTTTCTATCTACATAGCCATAGACACCTGTTGTAGGATATTGCTTTGAGTTTGTGTGTGATGGTTTTGCCATTATCTGCAATTTCCCCAGTATTGTGCCTGCCAATCTTATGCTGTATAATCAGACAGAAATAATTACACTCACTAATTACAGCATTGATCTTTGAATTTTTAAAACCTTTTGCTTACTGTTTCATTTCTGAGATTTTTTTTTTTAAACTTCTGGCAAGTACTGTTGTTAAAAAGGAAAACTCTCTCTTCTCTTTAAACTGGGTTCCTCTGAAACAGGAAACTCTCAGTTAAAACCAGTAAATGACCATTTGGTATATTTTACTATTTAAGCATTTTGCCCGAACTTTCAGAAACTTCACATTGATACTTATTTTGTGTATGTGTGTGTATTTCAAATTAATAGAAGTCAGGAAATTCAAAGTTATCATTGCCTCAGCTGCTATAAGTTGGCCTCCTTGTACTTTTTAATATTGTTTACTGGCTTGCTCTTAAATTTATGTCTTAAAATTGATGTGAAAAGCTTGACTCAAAACTAAAATAAGTATGAAAATAAGAGCTGAATGTCCCCATTATCCCATCTATGGGGATCATTCAAAGAATTACATCTTAACTAACATTCTGAACATTCATTTTAGCTTCCATGAAATCCATTGGCTCTTCCAGGCCACTAGTCCAGAATTAGGGGTCATGTCGGAACAGTTTGTGGTCAGCAAGCCAGCTCTTTTTCCTGATGGCTGCCATCTTGTGCTCCAGAATCCAAGCATTTATACTGAAAAATAATTGCCCTATGGTTGCGAAAATAACCTGCCAGTCGTGAACCAGAAGTAACCGATTCAATGATGTCTGCCTGAGTCTACAGACGGCTTTAAACAAAAGTTCTGAGAGAAGACTGAACTCTCCCCATTAATCTGAATGGGATGTTGACTCTAAAGCCTGATGATAATTTAAATGTGAACACTGCTGAATATTTCACTACTCATCAAAACACACAAGAGAGAAAAAGGAATGATCATATTATGCACAATCTTACTGTGAGTGACGTCTCTTCTTGGTGTATTGAGTGTGCAAAGCTTCGGTTGTGGGCAGAGCCAGGAAGAATACCACTTACTTATTTTTTCCAGTCTTATAACAGAAGAATCAGCAGCAATATTGGAGAGACCTTTAGAGGCTCAGCTAAGTCACAGGTAGAGCTGTGTGAATTCTTTTGACCGAAACGTTTTTGGTGAAAAATGCAGATTCAGCAACACTGAGATATTTTACAAATTTAACTGCATCTAATAGTTCCAGTTAAAAAAAAATTAACCTTGACATTTTCAAAATGAAACATTTTGATATTTTGGTTCAAAACAACTTTTCATTTCAAAATTTCCCTTAATTTTATTTTAAAAGTCAAAAATGTTCAAAGATGGTAAACAGCAAAACAAAATGTTTCAATTTTTTTTAAATGAAATGTTCCAATCAACCTGAAAAGAAATTTTTCTTTTTGAATCACCAAAAAAATTGAAAGATGTTATTTGGGGTTCAATCCAAAACAATTTTTTTCAATTTATTAGAATTGGCAGCAGACCAAAAAATTCATTATTCACCTAGTTCAAGTTGCAATATTTCCTCAGTGATGTAATTTTAAACATTTGCTTGATTGCTATTTTAAATTTTAGTAGTATAAAAGTTATTTTATAAATTTTAAAATTAGAAAAAAGGAGGAGACTTAAAACAGTGCTACAGTGGCAAAAACATGATTTATGCACTATGACAGAGCCTCTGAGTATTTATCTGGACTCTCCATGGCCTTTGTTACCATAGCACGTGAGCACCTCCCAATTATTTAAGAACAGACAATCTTTCTCCATCTTCTTCCTTGGCCTATAGGAGAAATAGTTTGATTAGTATAGTTGGTTTTGGTTTTGTTTCAGTGGGTGTGGTGTATGTCTATGGACGGGTCTGTGCATGCATAAATTATAGAGGGAAAGTCAATCCCACATTTAGTTGTCTCAGTAGTGAGGTCTGTGGTACCTTTTTATCTCTTAGGGGAGTGAGTTCCATAGGCTTAGGCTGCAGGGCAAGCTCTGGGACCCTCCCACCTCACAGAGTCCTAGAGCCCGGTCTCCAGCCCGAGCTTGGAAGTCTACACTGCAATTAAACAGTCCCTTAGCCCAAGCCCTGTGAGCCTGAGTCAGCTGGCATGCGCCAGCCGCGGGTATCTAATTGCAGTGTAGACACACCCTGAGAGTCTCACAACTGTCACGGTAGGTCCTGGTCAAAGAAGGAAAAGTGGTCTCTCAAGTACCAAGGACCATGAATAACAGAACGCAGACCTTGAACTGGACTCAGTATTCAGTACAGAGAGATTTGGTGACCAGAGTTGCTAAGCAGATGGGCTGTCACATGTTGTACTATGTGGATCTTTTTCAGGGGGCGTGGGTTCATTCCTAGACACAGTGATCTAAACCTCACTGACATCAACTGGAGTCTTTCCATTGATTCAATGACCTTTGAATCACACCTACAATGAGTTGCAGTAATCAAGCCTGCAAGCCTGCACCACTATGGCCCGTGCTGTTATTATTTCTGGTATCTCTGACATCTTAGAATGATGCATTGTGATACTTCTCTATTTGGTCTGGAAGAGTCAGTAGATTTCATGGAAACTAAAGTGAATTTTGAGAAGGTTAGTTAAAACTTCATTCTGTGATGAATAAGCCCCACAACCTGATTAGTGGGGACATTTCTTGCATGTTTCTGAGTTATGCTTTGCAGTTCAGTATTAATATATATGTGGCCTACAGGTGATGTACAGTTACTTTGGGGCCCATGGCTTTGTACCTTTTTATTTTTGTGCATTTAAATTCTTTGCTATAACACTGGCATAAGATTTTTTTAATTGAAGTCCTTTGGGGAGTTTAAGGAAGAAAAAGGGCAAGTATAGGAGGGTGTGGTCACACACCAATATAAGTACAATGGACCTCATTCTCCTTTTACCTGCACCAGTGTGATTCCACTGGAGTCAGTGGAGTTGCTCCACTGTAACTAGGAGAATCAAACCCACTGTTGGCATTACAATTAAAAATCATCTTGTGTATCCTCTTCTGGTACATTGCAAATGAGCCACCAGTACCTCTCCACCCCCCACCCCAAATGGTTTGGAAGTTCAGCTGTATTCTATTTCAGCTAATAAATAGAAAAATCAATCTGAGCCCAGCCAGAATTAAGGCTGATGAAGAGGATATTCCAATTCTTCAAAGGCTCCCATGTGAAGCTCACATTTAGTTATCAGTATGAAGCTCAAGAAAAGCTGGTATCACCCCAGTCATCTGAGTTTACACTTCATCTTCATTATATAAAGCTGATTGTTATCAAACTGTCATTAATCTAAATCACACATACCCTGGCTCTAAATGTGTACTTTCATGATAGGCATCTATTTGTAGCACCTACAGCTTAGTACTTAAGATGCTGGGTTTGAAAATAGATGAATTATAAGGTTAGAGAGCACCTGTTTTCCTTCTAATCCAGTCAGCATCAGTCAGTTGGAAAGATTTACCATTGATGTTTATACCTGACCTCAGCTGTTGTAAATTAGCCCAAAGCAGGGGTGGCAGGTATCCTAGGCTGGGGGAGACTGTGCCTCCCCAAATAGCCTAGGTTCCCTCCTGCAGTTCCCAGCGCTCTGCAATGGCCAAAGCTGGCCAGCCTGCCTCCCACAGGGACTCACGGAGGCTGGCGCTGGGCCGGGCCCTGTGGTGGGGGTGCTCTGGGCTCCTGTGGGGAAGGGGGCAAAAGGAGAGGAGGAGGGGTGGAGCCTCGGGCACAAGGGGAAGGGTCAGGGACTAGCCCACCCCAACGGCTGGGTCACCAGCTGCCCATGGCACAAAGTTTTAGTTAAAGTTAGACTACGTTTTAGTCACTTTTCCTGGGCAGTTCAGGTTCCACTGTAAAGATTCAGTCCAGCAAAAAGTGGCAACAATAAATGGCCCGACTTCTTTTTCTTTTCCAGGATGACAAGGAAATTGACCTGGAACATCTTCATAGACGTGTTAACAGCCTCTGCACAGATGACGACAGCCCCCATAAACAGTTTTCCACCTCATCAATTGATCTGACCCCACTGGACATTGACACTTTGCCCACACGCCAAGCACTGGAGCAAATCAGTGACTTCAGGAACACTCATATCACTACGACAACCTTCATACCAGAACAGATCCAGACTCTTAGCCGTACGCTGTCAGCTAAAGCCGCTTCTGGTTTCTCCTTTGGCAACATGCCTGAGCACCGAACTGGCCCTTTTAGGCACAGGGCACCTAACGGGGGCTTTTTCAGAAGTCCTATCAAAACAATGTCATCTATCCCATACCAACCAACTCCTACTCTGGGGCTCAATATCGGTAATGACCCAGACCGAGGCACCTCCATATGAGCTTCAGACCAAGTTTCTTCATTGTTTCTTTTTAGGACTCCCTTTGCAAGGAGCAGCTGTAATATTATGGGACTAACATGGATGTAACTTTTTAAAAAAAAAATCAGGATTCTTAGTAACAACTCACTATTTCTCTTTCTGTCCCCTGCTTTCTCTGTCTTCTCCTCTCTCTTCTCTTGTCACCTGTTTCTTTAAAAACAACAAAAAAAAGAAATCCCACTAGTTTTATATTAGTACACTTTTCATATACTTTAAGTATAGGAAATGTGCACTGAATATGCATAAAAGATAGAGGGTTATTTCACAGAAGGGCGTTTGTATCTCCCCTCTTTCTCCATGTTTTATATAATTGCAATAACTTCAGTCCTTTACATTTGTTCTGCTGCATCCATTCAGTGCTCCGCTGCTGTTGTGTGTCCTTTTAACTGTGGACCAAAGGCAAACCCTGCAGTAAAAGAAAAAGAAAAAAAAAGGAAAAAACAAAACACATTCAGGCCACATAATACGAGAATGCAATTTTGTAGGATTACAAAAAGCCATTATTATGCCAGTAAAGACTACAGTTAAATCTACTTTTGCACTGCAACAGTGCATATGACCTTTATGTGATTGTACAGTGTTAAAAGTTTTTCTTATGTACAGTAAACTGTATCATATGGCAGAAGTCTCTGTTGTGTTAAATAAATTAGTATCACATAAATATATATACATAAGTATGTGTATATATATCTATAAAATGGCAGCCGTTGCTATTGCAATTCATTTAATAAAGCTTTAGTAAAAATGTGTTGTATACAGAAAAGCTATACAGTGCAGGGGGTCTTTTTGTTTAGAAAAGAGATTGGCTTTAATATTATTCTGACTTGCATTGTTTGCCAACAGAGCTTATTTTATACTTTTTTATTAGAACATCTGGGTTAATTTAATGTTTCTACCCAGATGTAACTCATTTGATTAGGTTTTGCATTAGCTATTCAGCAGTGTATAAGGCTAAACTTGGTAATTTTACTTTTAATTAATTTAACTAATGGAAAACTCTCTTAGGTAAACCACATCCATGGATAACTAATACAGCTCTAGAGAAGTTTAAATGTAGATCATAGAAGGTTAAGAAATTCTTTTCCAAATCAGTATCATCAATCAATACAATAATGGTGTTACTGGGACAAAAAACCCTTGAGAAATATTGATGGGGCCTTAAATAAAGTTATATATTATCCTAAGAAAAAAATTGATCGAGCTATTATTTTAACCCTTACTATATTCATTTATATTTAGAGGAGCTGTGTAATTTTTATATTAGTGCCAACTGTATAGAACGATGAAAGAACAGCAATGAGAGCAAAAACAGTGCCTGCTTTGGCACAAGCTTCTTAAAGTTACACTCTTATCTGTTAGAAATGTAGAATGAGCTTTTAGTTTGTAATCCTTAAAACCAGAAATGTCATTACGTAGAAAACAAGCAACTTATCCCATGTTGAGTTCTTTGTTTTTATTATTTTGTTTTTTTTTACGCAACCATACACTTATGTTAACCTAACTCATTCTATGGCTAGAACTGATATAGGAATCAGCCTATGTGATTTGCTTTAGGAGAAATTAAACGGTATATTCTTCAGCTCTATTCTATTTTGATGCTAATTCTGTTCTGGAGGAGCATCTTGTACTGTCAATGTTTTTGTACTAAATCTTCAAATATTGTCTACTGTGTAAGGCAGAACAATTTCTTATCATGCAAACGGCCATTTTGTTTCCAGGGTAGCAAGTGTCTAAAAGCATGCACAACTTGTTTCCCCTTGTAACATTCATGAACTCATACACAACTCTGATTTAAAAAAAAACAAAAACAACAAAAAAAGAAATTTCTTTACAAGCTATGTAGGGACATACCAGATGTTGCAGTGATTTTAGCTATAAACAAACTGTTAACCATGTACACTATTTAAAATAGGCCTATTTTGATGTGTTGCCTATTATACAAATACACAACACTTTTTGGAGGCCTCAGTTACAAGTGGCAGAGCTTTCTGTGTATAATTTGTCTAAATAATTTGTCTAATAAAATTGTTTTCTAAACTTGCTTTTCCTTCTATTTGTCCTAAATAACATGGAAATGTCAAACTGTGTCTGCATTCTTCAATTTAAGGTGTGCATTATTTAACATTTATATTGTGGTAACCCATAGAAGCCAAGAAGGTGGAGGTCCCATTGTGCCTATGAGATTCTGTGCTGTGCCTTAGCCCATTGGGAGGGAGGACTAAGGTGGCTTTAAGCAGTCCTGGCGTAATTCAGACAGCCCTGGGGGTCTCTCTAATTTATGGCAGCAGAGCTGCCCAAAATCTTTACAGAACTATATTCTGAGGCCCTGCCTCAGCACACCCCTTATCCGCCATACCTGCTATGCCAGGGCTTTTGTGGAGACCTTCAAAAAGCAGCCTGTGACTATCTTCTTCAGTTCCGTCACTGAGGAAATTCTCTCCTGCCTGGATCCAGAACTTTATAGAACTTCTTTAGCCCGTTTACGTGGTGTAAAGCGCTGGAGCAGGAATGAGTCTCACCTTTGGTGTTGTATTTGAATATGTAAGACGTACTGGCGGGAAAAAATAGCAAACATCCTTTAAAGCAAGAACTGTAAGTACTAGAGCCTATGCCTCTTATCATATCTCCTGTAGAATTCCCATGGAAATTAGTGTGAGATTGACAGGGGATCAAGTCAAGTTTAGACCTAAACTGCATTCTCCCCAAATTCTCAGGTACATTCAGAAGCACTCAGTATCTGACCTAACTCAATCTCAGCCTATAAGTTCTAGAAACTTTCTTGATACATGGCCTATTTTGTTCTGTTGATTTATTTTTATAGGATCAGATTCTGCCCCCTTATTTAAAATGAAATCATAACTTACTCTGTGGGTAGCCATATGCCTATGTCCTCATGAGTACCGGTGGCAGAATATGCCCCTTATTTAATTACAGTATTCTCAATCTTTATTCATTTGGGTTGTGTATTTTCATTATTATCTTAAACTAATGGCCAAATTGATATTAATTCCTTTAGTATTTACTTTACTATCAATCATGATGTAGTCACTTAGGGCTTCCAAATTAATACCAAGTTTTCTATTGGATTGTTCACAACACTTCAGCTTTCATTAACTAAACCATGATTTTAAAGTGTTGCTAGCGTTTCATACATTGACTCAGCCAGCATTAATGATATATGGGACAGCGTGTTTTGGTTTTCAAATAAATGTCATGCTATCCCAACTCATTGCTTATATCACTAAAAAATTCCACCTTCTGAGAATTTCAAAAGCTAAGGTTTGATTTAAAGCCCTGTAAAAGAGAAAACTGATTTGGTGAAAGTTACTTAATGCTTTTCTTTTCAAACACAACTAAGAGATAAGTTACATAGCTCTGTCTAAAAGAAAAGCAATGGGTAAACTGAGGCCCTCATCCTACAAACACTTATGCACCTTATTACATTACACTCATTGGGGTTAGTCACAAGTACAGTTATTAGCATAAGTATTTGCAGGATCAGGGCCTAAATTAGTCATTAGTAGCGACCAGGAAGTCCCTCGGCCCGCACCGCTTCCAGCAGCTCCCATTGGCCCGGAGCAGCGATCCGCGGCCAGTGGGAGCCGCGAACAGCCGGACCTGCTGACGGGGCAGGTAAGCAAACCGGCCCGGCCCGCCAGGGGCTTTGCCTACACAAGCAGTGACCCCTGTTTGAGAAACCCTGTCTAAGATAAACATGAATGTGTTGAAATGTGAAATGTGTTGTGCTCCAGTCTGCACTAGATCATTCCTCTTGCATTTCATGGGTATCCTGTTCCCATTATTTACAGTCAGCACAAGTAGCAAGGCAAATAAAATGGCTTAAAAGCGAGGTAATTCTAAAATAGCTCTGCCAGTCATGGTATATAGGAGGGAGGGGAAAACAAACCCTGCAAACATCTCTTCTTCCTTTCAAAACAATGTGATACAAATTTTGCTCTGGACTACTGACCAGTGTTTATAAGCAACTCATGTTTTCATGAAGAATCATTTGTATTTTCAATGGAGTTGCAATAATTTAGAGTAATCCCAATAACCCAACCGACTGAACATATCCTATATAGAATATCTATCTAGACTGCTTTGTGGGTTAAACTATGCTGACTAAACACAGTTGTTACAGTCAGAGTTCACGGTTTCCCTCAACAATGTGGAAAAGCTTTTTTTTTTCTCTCTCCAGAGAACCATATTATAAAAAGATCCTAGAGACTAAGAAGGGACGTAACTATAGTATGGATCTCAAAACAAAAAAAGTACCCATGCAAATCAAGAAAAGGTGGGTGCTATCATGGGGTCTACCATACTGTGGTCAGGGCCAACATTTCTGTGGTCATCTCTTTTGTCTTGACTAATGGAAATGCTAATTTTACATCATTGAATACATCAGATCTATTATGAAATATTTTCTCAGTCTTCCATGCTTACTTGGGATACTGTAAAGTAGGCAGAATTATAAGCACACCTTTCTATGCCAGAACTCCCACCGTATGCAGAGCAATGAATAGTCCAAAACTGCACTATTATTTGCTGGGTTTGCTTTAATTTCTTACAGGTGCACAAAGTGGACAATCTTTAAAAGTAAAACATACTTTTTCTTATCTGTAAGCTTTCCTGATCCAGGATAATGTATAAAGGCCCCAAAACAACAACTGAATCACAACCAACATTCAAATTATTCCCCTTGTTAACCCTACAGTAAACTCAGATTGTTGGGTTTCTTAATCTCGTGTGCAAGATTTTAAAACATTTTAGTAAAATAGGTGTCCATAAGAATGGGTCATATCAACAGAGTTTTCTGAGTCACAGAGTGATGTACATGTATGCACTCACAATGCAAATCAAGACTGGTTGGTTTAAACCAAATTATCTTAGGCTGTGATCTTGTCATATTTCATCAACTAAAACAGATTACTGTTTGTGAGGCTGATTAATGTCCTATGGAATCCCTAAATCTGAACCAATGCCCTAAAATTAGAGAGCAATGTACTTCATGAGGGAATCATCTCACAGACAAGAGAGAAAATCAATATCTACCTAGGTTCTCATCTGCCACCCCCCAATACCACAGTATCTCACCTGAAATTCTCTACTCGACACCCTTGTGAGGTAGGAAAATTATTATTCCCACTTTCAACATGGAAGAATGAGACACAAAAAGATTAAGTAATTTGCCCCAGGTCACACAGTAAGTGTGCAGCAGAGCCTAGAAGTCAACCTAGGCCTCCTAAATCCAGTGCTATAACCCCCAGACACGCTTTCCTCTCTGATTACTTATGACCATTAAAAATCCAATGGCACGTTCCACAATTATATGGACTACCCGGGCACACTGCAATCTCAACTTTATCCAGAAAAGTGAATTACTGGGGATGAAGTTCACCCCTGTGAAAAGACTTGCACCACTTAAGATCCAGGCCAGAAGACCATGTCCACATGAAGCCAAGGGGAGCCCACGATTGCCCCCAGAGGAATCTGTGATACTAGGGAGGGTGGAGAAGCCCAGCCAGGAACCAGAACTTGTGCTGGGGGCACAGCTTCCTTGCAGGCAGCACTGGTCTCCATTGGCTCCCTGGAGAGCTGCCCGGTTTGGCCGTAAGCCCTGCACCATTTCTGTGGAAGGCAAATCACATATGTATGAGCACACGTCAGTGGGACACTGCTAATGAGATCATGATTTTTTAACCAGGAAAAGGGGACACGCTAGCCCATTCTCATAAAATAGAAAGAAATGTGTATTTCATCAAAGAGGAAAAAAACTTAATTCTGACCTATGGATTGTTGAGTGTTTTCAGTAGGAGGGATTCTTTTTTCCTAATGTATTGGTTTTGTGTCCTTGGTGTTTAAATATTTTCTTTTAAGTGATACTGTTGGGGGAAAGTGTCAGGCAACACATTTATCAAGTGACAGTATTATTATTTTTTTTGTGGTTGTAGCATTTGTAGCTGCTGTTTCTTGAGTTTGAAATTGTATACATAATGTAATGAGAAAGTTCATAGTATTATCACTGTATGGAACTATGTCTACATGTATTTGCATTTGTGGCTGTTCAAAATGGGAAATTAATTTGTATATATTATGATAGCCATGTTTCTTTTTCAGAAAGGTTTATTTTTTCTTTTCATCTTTTAAGATTACTGATGAAAGAGTAGTATTTATTTTGGGTCAGAATTAAGTGTCAGGCTTTGTGATGAAATATACATTTCTTTACATTTAGAAACAAAACATTGTGGACAGTGTAAGATTTTATGATGTCCTCAGCTATTTATTTCCTTTAAGTGTGTGGGTTTTGTAAAAGATGTAATGAGTAACTACATTGTAGCCACTTAGCAATTTAAACTGTTTTTTCTTAAAGAAAGCGTTTTGCTTTTCAAACATCCACATGTTTTTTGTCTTTTGTGTAGCTAAATGAATATACAGGGCCTGGGTCACTATGGTCTGATTCCAGTTTCATGCTGGTATAACTCCATTAAAATCAACACATTTACCTTGGCATGCTGCTGGGCATACATTCATTTACAGCTGAAATAAGGCAGTGGCAAATCAAACCCACTGTTTGCACAATATTAAATACAGGAGGGTGGGTAAGTCACACCAGGTGATCAAATTAAAAGAGTAAGTTGCACTAATCAAGCTAATAAGATCACCTGCATAAACCTGGCTCATTAAATGTGTATCTCACAAGATACATATTTTCACTATGTGGTGTTAATCCCACGGATGTGCACAGTACAGCCAAATTTCACTATAAAAAAGGTCTAGTTTCACTCAAACAACCAGAACACAGGTCTCTTGGTTCCCCAGTCAATTACTAATCCTAGGCCACAGTGCCGCTAAGCCAAGTCAATAGAACTCTCTGTGCTTTAATAACCTCATCTGAAAAAGTGTGGCTTACATATACACAGAGCCTGAGTGAGTGTTAGGCCAGCACATAGCTGTGCTTCCCCAAGAGTCAGCATTCTTCCCCTTTTGCTCCAGAGAAGAAGTAATTTACTGCAGCCAATGCTCCCCCTTCCCCACCT